ATATATATATATATATATATATTTTAATGGTTTCAAAATGTCTTACAGTAAGGCTTGTTTCTATACAAGGGTTTAGTATAACATTTATTCTGGTGATTAGCTTTAACCTGTGTCTGATAAATGGTAAATCTTTTATTAGCAATTTTACATTGTTTGTTATTTTTATGAGTTTATCCGTGTTTTGAAGTTGTATAAACTGAATATATATTCTTGTGTAAGATTTTGTGCATATTTTTCCTAGGATATTTTATGTTTCTCATGACTCTCAAGATATGAAAATCTTCAGTTATATTGCAAGGGAAGGAGGAAGTAACAACTTCAAATGCAGTGTTTTCAAGTCCAAAAAGAAGGTATTTTTGATTATATACTGACCAAACTAGGAATAAGTTCATATAAAAGATGGCATTTTTTTGACTTGGTTCTGTAGCCCTGGAGAGTCGGACATTATTCTGTTATTTTGATAATTATGCAACTATGTGCTAAATGGTAGATGTGTTATAATTTCTTTATATATATACACACACACACACACACACAGGATGCACGATAAGTTTGGAACCATAAGCAGTTCAACGAACTTTACAGAATGTGTTCCCCCTTGCTGTTCTTGTATTTCGAATTATGTTTAAGATGGTATTTCCGTTCTCTTTGGACACTGCAAAGCATATTCATGCACTGCCAATGGTCCGACAATCATTGCTATACGTTGTTTTAGATGTTTGATATCTCTGATTTTGTCTTTGTACACACGTGTCTTGAGTAGTCCCCAGAAAAAGAAATTCATGGGAGACAAGTCCAGAGATCTTGGGGCCCATGTCTGCCAATCCAATACCCTGGGAAGGTGTCATTAAAACAAGCTACAAATCATCTATGGTTCCAGACTTTTCGGACACCCTGTATATACGTCTGTGTGTGTGTTTATATATAGGACTTCTAAAAACTTGGAAAAAGAACTGTTTCTTCGTGGCTCAGTGTAAGGAATTAGCAAAATTACAATGAATACCACTTACATTATTAGTTTTAGAGGATTTGTTCTTTGAATCGAATAAAGGATAAAAAAGTTTTCCTTCACGTTATCATGTTTTGGGGAATTTCTCACTTCAAATTAAGAAAAGCTTTAAAAAAATCAACTTATAGAATTTATTCTAAGATAAGAGCATATTAACTCTTTCAGCATGGGCTTGTTCCCTGGGACTGATCTTGTAAACATTTTGTGCTTGTTATAGTTTTCATAACTTTTAAATTATTAAGCAAATATTAACGAAATTTGGCAGATTATCAATAAACATTACAATGCTTTCAAACACAAAATATCAATTTTTTTTTAAGTCTTAAGGTTTATAAAGCAATGTTTTTCTCATGCCTATTTTTTCTTTCCACATGTTGCCTATCTATTGTGCAAGGTAATTTTGATTTTAAGATTAAAAATACGTTTATGCATCAGAAAATTTTCAAATTACACATGTGAAATCTTTATAATGTCCAGATAGTTATCAAATGTTGCTTAAGAAAAAACTACATTTTATCTGTTATTTTCAGTAATGAATCTCTATACGGGTTTGGTAGATTTGACCAATCTGTTAACCACCATAAAATATTTGGAAATAAATATAAATTATGCCTCTTTCATTCTAGAATGAACACAAATTATAACACGAAAGCATAAATGTTTAGACTAAATAGCTTAAACATCATAACATTATATATTTATTATTGTTATTATATTGACATTTCAGCCATGCCTGGTTAACAATACAGAAGTTATAATGATGCGCTCACGTGCACTCATGTTACTGTATCCAATAACATAAAACTGACCTTTGGTCTTTACAAAGTAACCTGTCTTGGCTGTGTTTTAGTAGACTAGTATTATGTAAAATACAGTCACATTTCCATTATTATACATTATATACGTATATAGATTATTGCTATTTAGAAATAAGTTATTAAACTTATTTTTCTTAAACATAAAACAGTAAATAAAGTAAAGAAAACAATTATCTCTTCTAATTACGACCTTTGTACTCAGTTACTGCTTGACGTAGGTTGCTAAGCCTTTGAATATTTTGCACATGGAGGATATGAAACAAAATAATTTTTTAAGGTTTTATATATATAGATTTGAATAACTAAAAAATCATAAATTACTACATCAGTACCTTAGAATTCCACTATAATTTATCAAGCTTAGTAACTAAACTGTAGTTTAGTCTTAAAAGATATGAAATTTCGAGCAGACTAAAGACACAACCTACCTCCTTCAAATCTTGGTTCAAAAGAAAGAGATGGCATCCTAAGAATTTAAAATGGCCAAGAAAGCCACTAGGGGGACATTCTGAGCTTTCAATTGGTTATTCATGTTATATATAAAGGTAAGTGTATATAAGGGAGCATTTCCAAAAATGGAAAAAGGTGGGTGGGGTGCCACTGTTTTTGATTTATTACATGAGCAATATCTTACCAAATTGAAAAGATAAGTCAGTCTTATTTTATATTCTAGTTTGTCAATATCGGTAATTTGAGTTTCTAATTCATACAAAACCTTTAGATTTTGTATTTTGACTTCACAAACATCTAATTTGAACCAGTGCTGCATCCAACATACCACGTGACACACAAAAATCAATGTTTATCTGCACCTTTTTAATATTAACTTTTAAATTAAGAAATTGAGTAATGTATAGTAGTAAAGTTTGAATTGTAATCTACAGTTTAATACCAAACTTATTGACATAGTAGTTCAATAACATTTTGAATGCGAGTCAACAAGCGAGATTACACGGCCTTTAACCCATGACCTGTCTCGAAAGGGTTAAGAGTTTTTCATCTTTAAAGATAAGCTTTCTGGATGATTTGTTAAAAGTGTATCAGTACGCATGGAGGAGCATTGCCAGAAAATACTAAAAGAATCTTGGAACATCTTAACATTCAAAAGTCAGACTCCAACATATACAACCCCCTGTATTTTACTTTATGGGCAGAACCAAGTGTTACAGGTTCTGAAACATTCTGATGTGAATTGCAAAGAACAAATCTGTCATCTCAGACTTATTAGGAATTATGTATGCCAATTGTGTTTTTTTTAAACTGCAAAAGTGGCCAATACAGTCTGGTTTTAAGTATCAAAAGTGCTAAAAAAGATTTTTTTCACTCTTAATCAGTATGGAATTTTCTAGTGTAATACAATTTTGTTAATTCGAATAAATGAGTAATGCGATAACTGTAATTGTGTTGTTTCTGAGTAAAATTGAGAGAAGTAACCAGTAGGATTCTACCACGTTGCTCTCGTATACTTCTTTCCAAACCTTTTTCTTTAAGTATAACGTATATTGTACCACAGCCACCCATTCAAACAATTTTGGCTTTTGCAGTAGCAATGTAGCGACACATAGCAGAAAATTAGAATAAGGAAACAGTAGCACAACCACGTATTCTTAAATAGAGTACTGTAAGGTTACTAAAGTCACAAGTTCTAAAACATTAGGATATTAAAGTAATGTGAAACCAAAGTTTGTTCAACATTATGATACTGAAGTTGTACCATAACTACAGATTGTAAAACATTAGGATATTAAAATAATGTGAAACCAAAGTTTGTTCAACATTATGATACTGAAGTTGTACCATAACTACAGATTGTAAAACAATAAAATACTAAAATAATGTGAAACCAAAGTTTGTTCAACATTATGATACTGAAGTTGTACCACAACTACAGATTGTAAAACATTAAAATACTAAAATAATGTGAAACCAAAGTTTGTTCAACATTATGATACTGAAGTTGTACCACAACTATAGATTGTAAAACAATAAAATACTAAAATAATGTGAAACCAAAGCTTGTTCAACATTCGTACACTTAAGCGATAGTAAATTTATAGAGTATGAAACAAGAAAGTAATAAAGTGGACACAGCACTAGTTTGTAAAAACTAAGGGCTGTAAGGCATTACAACACCATGTAAGTGCCTTTATCAGTAAGACTATATGTGGTTTGTCTTCCCTCTATTTTGTAACGTCAAAATTAGGGACTGCTAGTGCAGATAGCCCTTTTTAGCTTTGTGCGAATCTTTGTTACAGACAAATTTATCTGTGACTACTGTGAGACATGTCCAAAAGTGAATCGTAATTGACAGTTATTTCGAGACTACTTAGTAGGTGTTGTTCAAGCACTGAACCCTGGCTGTAAGAATGTCTTGAAATTAATGAGAGATACCACAGTTTACTTATTACGATGTAAGTTTTGGATAAACTGTTCCTTGCATAGTTTATTAAATGACTGATCGTCTAAAATCTTTGAAACTCGTTATTTAAACAGTTAGTTCTATATTGTAATTTAGTGAACTTCAAGCACTATTTTTAATTGAATTTTTCTTATTTAGTAACACGTGGTAGTAACACTGCTTTATGATTTTAAACATTATATTTTCCTGTAATTTTAAGAAGTCACTTAATTATTTTACTCTATATAATTTCAGTTTCGAGATTGCACTTAAGATGTTACAATGAAATTTGAATGATGCATTTTGCTAATATTTTTAGATTCTTAATATTATTTCAGGCTCAAGCCATGAGGATAGTACATACTGTGGGCCAAGCCTTTGAAGTCTGTCACAAGCTAAGTTTACCTCTTCCTTCGTCAAGTGGAGGGAGCCAAGAAGATCAAGAAGATAGAAACAGAGGTAAAACTTTTAACATAAGATGTTATGCAAGTAATGCAATTATTCTGTCCCTTTTTTTTTGGTAAGAACTGTTACCCTAAAATAAAAAGACAAACAAAACATTTTAGGTATGTTCAGATGCTAAGTAATGTGTATTACAATTTATGTAAAAGTAGAAATATTTGTTTTTTTATTATCCTTGATGTGTTCATTTTATGCCACATATGTTAAAAATATCTTATTAGGGGAGATCGTGATGTAGCGCACAAAGAAAACTATAAACCCATTATGCACTAGCCTTTTTAAAAATATTTTATAGGAATTAAATATGTAGACATTGAGCTGTAAATTAGTAGCAGTAGGAAAACATGACATTCCAGAAATGCGACACTGAGGATGTTGTTCCATATACACACAATTCACCACTAATCCGAGATCCATGTTTGTCTATGGATTAGTGCAATTTTTGCCCAACTATAATTTATTTTTACTACTGAAAATATATATATATATATATATATATAATAGTTTATATTGCATTACAAAACCTGTAACTGATAGATTCAGAATTTAATGATACAATGAACCAGTTGTAGTAACACACATCCTAAAGATAGATCATTCAGACTTCATATAACATTCTGTTATAGATAACACCGATAGTGACATATTACAATGCCATAGAAAACATTTTATATGCAGCAATGTATTGATTGTGTTCTTAACCTTATATAAAATATGGTAATATATCCAGTGTTTTAAACATTTAACAAAATACTCTTATTCCGTGACGGAGTTAACTTGTGGGAAATATAATGAAGATTAGTTGGTTTCCACTGCAACTTTCATGGACACATTAGTATCTGAAAAGTTAATTTTAAGCCCCGAATATGAAGAGTTTTCGGGTGTTGATTACAGAAAGATAAATGTACGTATGTTAAATACATTTGAATGAACCACTTTCATAATCCGACAGCTACTCATCAATTTTAAGTTCTCACAGTAAGGTTGTGGCGATTGGATGTGAATCATTGTGATGGTTCCCAAACATTTTTGTTAGTGGACCATGTTATAACAGTATAATTTAACGAAACAAAATAAGTGGTTAAAATCACTATAATGTTATTGTTAGTATTAGCAATTGAGTATGAACTGCTTTGTCTGCAAGATCTGGGCGCTTTTTAGTTCCTTTAGCTCCAACGGATGCTTTTCTTCGTCCGTAGAGAAACTAGCAGGGTGATCTTTAATTTGTGAGGTACAAAAACCCCCAACAACAAATACTAGTTCCCACTTTAACTGAAAAGCCAAATAATAAACTTTTTGACTTAATCTGTACGTATTCTTCCTGAATATTTAAAGTCTCAAGTGTTGGGTTTGCTCTGGAAGCTACCAACTTTTCCTTTTGATAATTATGAAACCTATCCATGGACCTCTAGTCTAACCACCCAAGTCTAAAAATTATATATATAATTAGTTTTTATCCTGCTAATCTGCCGCCTTCAGGGAAGTCCTGAGAGGAACTGTGTTGGTGGTAGCTGGGATTCGATCCCGAGTCTTTTTGATGGTGTTTTCATGAGGAATTTACAGGATTTGTTGAATGAGTGTATTATCTTTCTTCTTCTCATGTGTGTGACTAATATCCTGTTAGTTAAGTGTTATTCTAATTTATCATAACTATTATACAAGACTCATTACATTTTTGTCTTCTATCTCTCCAGTTTCATGCAGGTTTAGTGACTTGTTTTTTTATGGTCATTAATCATGCTTAGAGACAGTTTATACATTAAATCAATAATGACAAATGCATTTGTATAATTAAAAAACAATTATTTTATTGACTAGATAAATACAACAGACAAAACGGAATATTTGCATATCAAAAATTTCATCATGTCGGGTTATCTATAGCAAGATATATTTTGTTCAATACCAGCCCAACATTTGGCTTGTAGTCTTGCCATTATACTATTGCTTCTAATTCTGTGGTCAGTTCTTGTGTTTAAGAGATTTACCAATTAGGCTTAAATTTTGAATTAACTGTATTGTGAATATTCACAGGAGTTATATATGCAGTAAATGCTTTAATTGGATTTTTTTTTCCCAGGATGCTTGCACGTGGATGGTATCTCAGAACCCAGTAGCTCAAACATTCAAGGTGGAGAACCTCTTAGTAATACAGCTATTTCTCTTACCAAACAATATCCAAATTCTCAGGTATGTAAACAATGTTTTCACAGGACCAGAACTTAAAGAAACATTCCTTTTGAGAGTAAGAATGAATACTACTTCAAATATATATGTATATATATTTTTGACACCACATTCTTCAATACCAAATTTTTCCCAAAAATTAACTAAATTAAACTTAAAGAATATAGTTGGAGGGGAAAAAAAGTTTAAATTCATGGTTTCTCTGCCTTCCCTGATGAATCACAACAGGCTACTATAACTGTTTTATTTTTTTATAGCAGGTAGGAGAGATGATTGATAACGTGGGAACTGTAAACAAGAACCTTCCAGGACAATTACCTATTAGTGTTTACCACCAAGTGCAGCTACTTCAAGAACAACTTGACCAGCAGTTTCAGCAGGCTCAAGCAGCTCTTGCTGAAATACACTTTCTAAAGGGTCAACTCACCACAGAAACTGCAGCTCGGATGGAAGCTCAGGTAAAAATAGTTAGGAAAACATGTATCAATTTATCACAGAAGCACAAAAATCCACCTTCGATAGTACTCGGGTTATAGAGTATCATACTTTTATTTTAGAACACTCTTTATGATTCACAGAAATTTTAACCTTTTTATTTTTTAATACTGTCACCATAGTTGTCTTGAAGGTGCTTAAAGTCAGTGTTTAATTTTTTGGTCATATATTTTGTTAGTGTGTAAACAAAAATTATGTATTCACTATAAACCATTAGTTGGTTTTATGCTGTGTTAAGGTGATATACACCTACATCTCTACCTGGGTGGGGTTGTACTCGGTCTTTTTAGAATGATTATAAAAAGGTTAACCTTCTTTCTGTTAATGGCTGGAGACGGCTTGAATGGGTAATGAAGAAAAACT